ACATTGTTTGAATCAAAAGTATTATCAACCTGTACTTACGTGTACATACCTCCCACCACATAATTAAAAATAAAATAAATCTTTATTGAAAAGTAATATCGAGTTTTTTTTTATATATTTCTCATGCCAAAAAGTGAAATTAAGAAATGAGGTCATCATTGTCCAGGTTAATATACTAGTACAAACTGATCAGTTCATTGAGCTCTCGAGTTAGTAAATGAAATAAATGTTTACGATTTCTTGAGGCAAGGTAATTACAGCTCTGCTGAGAAAAGATCTTGGCATTTGAATTGGGTCTGCTGGTGCCATACAGAGTGTGCCCCATGGCATCAACAACATGGTGTTTTCTTGGACAAACGTGAGGTAAGATCTTTAGTTGATAACAGAGTTACTAGAATATTAAAAAATAATAATACATTGTAATTTTGTGGAATCTAGTTTCTGAAAGAATCTAAAATGGTTTTATACTTTTATTAATGCTTTTAGACAAAATACAAAATACCTCAGATTTGGTGACAACAACCAAATTTTATTTCTCACAATTCTAGGGGACAGAAAGTCCAAGATCAGGGCGGCCAATTCAGTTCCTGGGAAGGCCTGCAGATGGCTACCTTCTATTCTTACTTGGTAGAGGAGTGTGAGTTCCAGTCCTCTCTCTTTTATAAACACACCAGTCCTATAAGATTAAGGTGCCACCTTTATGACCTTATGTAATCTTTTTTAAAAAACGTTTTTTTTATTTTATGTGTATGAGTGAGTGTATTGCCTGCATGTATGTAAGTGCACCCATGTCATGAAATACCTACAAAGGACAGAAAGAGGGCATTGGATCCCCTGGAACTGGAGTTATGAATGGTTGTTAGCTGCCATGTGGGTGCTGGAAACCGAATCCAGGTCTTCTGCAAGAGCAGCCAGTGATCTTAACTGTTGAGCCATCTCTCCAGCCCCTAAGATTTATTATTATTAAGGATTTGTGTTATGAACATGAATCCTAATATACTTGATAAAATAAGATTGAAATTGCATAATACAGAAACTGAGATGGAAAATGGTTTAAGTTCCTATGACAGATGCATAACCCCAAATTATTTCCTGACTCATTTTTACTCTAGTGTCGGTGACAGAAGAAGTGGTCAGCAAATAGGACTGTCAAGTCATCCTTTGACATAAAGAGTACCCATTCCCTGGGGGCATGAACTCAGTCTTATGTGGCAAAGTAAATATTGATGTGCACTAGCATTAATCAGATGCTTATAAAGGGTTATGCTGAGCAATATTCTGTTTAAAAATTATTTTTATGAGAGAGAGAGAGAGAGAGAGAGAGAGAGAGAGAGAGAGAAAGGGGTGGTGCATGCACCATTGTGGGAGTGTGGATGGCAGAGGACAAGTCTGTGGAATCTGTTCTTTCCTTCCATCTCATTTGTTCCAAGAATCAAACTCAGGTCACCAGGCTTGAACAGCAAGTGCCTTTACCCACTGAGCCATCTAGCTGACCCTTGCACAATATTCTTATTAACTCTTCTAAGTCAGACACAGAACTAGTCATTAGAAACAATAAATAAATGTAAGGATAGTAAGGTTGGCTTTTCAGTACTAATTTGTTTTTGGTTGAAGAGAATAGTTGCTAAAAGAGATGTTTCACATGTAAACAACTGCTGCTCATAGGAATGCCTGTTGCATCCTAAAGATTTGAAAGGTGGGTAGTAGAAAAATGCTAGCACAATAAAGCAAAACAATACAACCTTTTGGAAGGGGACTTGAATGGAATTATAGGGATTCATATTTTCTGCCTAGAGTCATGACTGACCTCAAATGCAGTTGTCAGTCATGTAGCTCTGGCGTGTTACAGAGATGAAGAGCTGCTTCCATATTTGACTCTTAAGTAAAATTTTACCCATTGTTATTTTCCATGTGTGCGGGTAAGATAGAGGTTTTCAGCTCCAGTTTAGAATTTAAATCCTGTCTAATTTTCTTCAAAAATAGCAAAAAGAATTTCAGAAAGAGACGAAGAAGATGCTCCCTTTCCTCTTGATCTTTCTCCACTATGAAATTAGTTTTTCCAGCCAGGGTGGGTGCCTGTGAGTAGTCCCAGCTGTAAGTGACTTGTTCTGTATTCTGCTCTGTGAACTTGTCCTTGGTAGTGTATACGGAGAGATTCTAAAAGTTACAAAAATTAGAATGTTTCAATGATCAGTGGAAAAGCTACAAAAGAAATGGAATTTTGATAGACTGTTTGACAGTCTGTTGCTCTAGTAATAATGCTGTTGCTTATCATTCCTTCACCTCCTCCCTCTTTTCCTCCCTCCTTCCCTTTCTCCCCCCTTCTCCCTCCCTCTCCCCCTTCCCTCTCTCTTTTCTCCCTCTCTTTCCCCGCTTTCCTTCCTTCCTTTCTTTCTCTGAGACAGGAGCTCACTATGTGGTTCCAGCTAGCTGGGGACCTGCTACGTAGCACAGGAAGTATTGAAACTCATGGTGATCTTTCTTCCTTAGTCTCCTGACTGCTGAGATTACAGGAATGTACCATGATACCCATTACTGTATTTCTTTTTTTTCCAATGCAAAATCAAGATCAATTTAATATAGGACTCTGAAACAAACAAACATAAATAACCTCCTTTCTAATCAATACTTTTCAGATTTTTTTGTCATTCAGAGGTTAACCATTGATACTTCTTTCCTCTCACAAATATGGTTAAGGAAATTCCATAACTTTGCTAGAGTTCTTATTCTAACAGTGATCAAGAATTGTGTCTTGGGATGGAGAGCTAATAAGAGCACTTGATGTGCAAGTACGAAGACCTGAGTTGGATTCTCTAGCAACATACAAGGCTGGGCATGGCTGCATGCACCTGTAAACCCAATGCCGTGGAAGGTAGAGATAGGAGCTTGATGGGGCTTGTTGGCCATCAGCTGAGCTCCAGGTTCAGGGAGAGACCCCATCTCAAGGGAAAAGGTGGAGAGTGATAGAGCAAGACACCAACATCTTCCTCTGGTCTCAGTGCGTAAAAGTACCTGCTACCAAGCCTGATGTGGATGAATGTGTATGAGTGCACTCACACACATGTACGTGTGCCTATGGCACACACATGTGCACACGCATGTACCACATACCACACATACACCCCACATTCATATGTATACATGTGGAAATACATTCATGTACACACTAACAAAAATCATCTCACTTATATTGAGAGTAAAACATTTTGATTGTATTGGTTTTCTCAATTAGAATTAAAATCTTACTTTAAAAATATTTTTTAATTTTTATTTCATGTGTCAGAGTATATTGCCTGCATGCATGTAACTGTGCCCTGGTTCTGCAATGTCTGCAGAGATCAGAAGAGAGAGTTGGATTCTCCTGCAGCTGGAGTTACAGATGGTTGTTAGCTACCATGTGGGTGCTGGGAATAGAACCCATGTCCTCTACAAGAACAGTCAGTGCTCTCAACTGCTGAGCCATCTCTCTAGCCTGAAATCTTACTTTTAAAATTAAGGTTAATTTTATTAAAACAATTGGAAGAAAAAATTCATTGTCTGTCCATCTGTCTGTTTAGCTATTTATTGAGGTAGATAGAATCTTACCATGTGGCCCAAGCTGCTCTTGAACCCACTATGTGACCCAAGCTGACCTGGAACTTGCATCACTCCTCCTGATTCAGCCTTTTAAGTGCTGAGATTATAGGCAATAAATGACAACACCTGGCTAAAAACTTGTTCTTTTCCTCTTGAAAAGGACCCTAGTGTCCACACTTATTTAAGCATTATGCTAAGTAAGACATCATTGAACCGTGACTTTTAAATATGATGAATAACATTTTACTTACCTGTGCTATGACAGGTTATGATCATCCACATTTGCTTAACCTGATCTGTATAGCAACAAGCATAGTCATGTCTAGGGCACCCATGAATCTGAATTGCTAGGCGTTCTTTAAGTAAGGCCTTAGTTTCTGGAGAAATGAGAATTAAACTTTCTTTCCCTCTCATTACAGTTTTTGGAGCTGGGTGAGGTGCTGGCCTGCAATTCTAGCACTTGGAGGGTGAAGCAGGGCTAGCCTGGGCTACAGGAGATCCTTTCTCAAAACCAAGCAGAAGTCTGTAGTGGCTAGTTTTTTTTTTGTTTTTTTTTTTAAATCTTGCTATTTTCTTGTCTTACTATTTCATTCTGAGCTCTTTTCCTACCTTTTGGAATCTTCTTTAGCCCTCTATTTGTCCTATTACATGTGCTAAAGCTTCTTCATTTTAAGTTAAAAATACCTAGATTATGGGGGGTGCAGAGATGGTTCTGCGGCTATGAGCACTAGCTGCTCTTGCAGAAGACTCGGAATTCCCAGCACCCATATAGTGGCTAACAACCATCTGTACTCTAGTTCTGGGGGATCTGACGCCCTCTTCTGACCTCTTCAGGCATTGCATGACATGGGTACACTTACATACATGCAGGCATTACACTCACACACAAAATAAAAATAATAAATAAAATATTTTCAAAAGACAAGATTTCAAAGACTTTCCCTACAAACTATCAATTATCCATGAGACTACTTGGTCTCCTTAATGATGTGGATTATCACAGCATAACTCACAGATGGGCACAGATATGTGTGCAAGTGCACATGGACACCACAGAGTCGAGCGTGGTAGCACACACCTGTAGTCCCAGCACAGAGGCAGATGGATTTCTGTGAGTTCAAGGCCAGCCTGGTCTATATAGTGAGTTCCAGGCCAGCTGGAGCTACAGGAAGACCCTGTCTCAAAAAGACAAAAATAAGTAAATAAATAAGTAAATAAAAATAAAACAACAGGGCCAGTGGGTAAAAGTACCTGCAACTAAGGCTGATGACATGAGTTTGAGTCCCAAAACCTATGTGGTGGGAAGACAGACCTAAGTCCTAAAAGTTGTCTTCTGACAGCCATGCATGGGCTGAGGCACATTCTTATCCACCCACAAAATAAACACATGTAATAAAAATTAAAAAATGAAACAGCATACATACCCCTTGGATTTGTGCTACGTCTAGAGCTAATGTAGTAGTCAAGGCTCCTGTGCTGTTCTCTTTATCATCATGACAGGAAATATCCTAGAGAGAAGGGAATTTAGTACGTGGTTATCAAAACCATTCTTTCCTACTCTGATTTTTCCTGTATCATTTTTGAAGGTCTTTGCCTGCTTCTTCCCTGGCCAATAAACACTAGGGATCAGCTGATATGCTTCTTATTCATAAAGCTCTGGGTTTTGTATCAACTAAAGAATGTTAGCCAAAATATGGATTCATTGCCGTATTGTAGAATATTCAAAACCATGTTGTAGAGTGATCATAGTTAAAACTGGCTTTTAAAACAAGCAAACAATCTGTAATTTTATTCTACAAGTACTTGGAAGGGCCGACTGTTTCTTTAGGCTTTGGGTACTAGGGATTGAATTTAGGGCTTAATACATCCTAAGTATACCCTTTAGCATTAAGATATATCTCTATATTACATAGCAAAGCAATGCCCAGCACAATTCAGAAATGTTTTCAAATCTTTTTACCTAAACTGGGTAGTGACAAAGAGACCATTTCCCTCTCATTTAGGCTTCCCACAGGAAAGATTTCACCTGGCACTTTCTATTACCTCCTATGTTTTATTTATTCA